TCCCTAAAAGTTAGGGGGTCCAAGGCAAAATAGTAATCCCAAACCACTCTGCTGGAATCGGGGTTAAAGGGTCACTAGTAAGTGTTCTCTTTGAAAACAAATCGTGCTGGAGACAAGCCAAGAAGAGTAGGCTGTACGAGCTGTGGCCTCACTTACAGGACCATCATCTTGGTTTTCAGATCCCTTCATAGCCAGAGTCTTCTGTGTAGTCTGACCTGGGTTCGGTCTTTTCGGTGCATTCTTTTCTCTTGTGGGGCATAGTCACGGTTATTGCTGCAAATGGAAAACTTTAGTGGGCACTGCGGTGCATGCACTCAGACCTCATCAGTATTGGGAAATGCCTGTTCTCAGGGCAACTTTGCAGATGTAGCTCTACTTGGGTTTTGTAAATCATTGCTCATCTTCGTCTCATTTTTATTTCTCTTCTGATGCACAAGTCAGCGTGTTGAATTCATTCTAACTAACTTGTGCATGCGGACTGGGAGATTAGATTACTAGGCATATGTTTAAGTAAATTGTGTAAAATTAGCTAAGTAAAGAGCTAAGGCAATCAGCCACTTCTTCAACATTAAGCAAGTATGTGATTAACATTAACAATGATTTTTATTTGAGGCCCTGGGAAAAAAAGGCATGTTTTTTAAAAAAATATTTCTATTATACTTCACATCCAATATTATATTAGTTTCAGGTGTACAGTGTAGTGATTAGTCACTTATATAACTTAGGGAGCGATCCCCCTGATGAGTCTTGCCCCCCCCCCTCATTATTGCAATACTATGGACTGTGTTCCCTAAACTGCACTTTACACCCTGTGATGTTTTCGTAACTGCCATCTTGTCCCCTTGCGTTCTTCACCCAGCCCCACAGCTCCACGCCTATCTGGCCACCCGCAGTTTATTCTCCATATCTGTGAGTTTGTTTGTGTTGTGTTTGTTCATTTATTTTGCTTTTTAGATTCCACATCTAACGTGAAATTGCATGGCATTTGTGTTTCTCTGTCTGACTTATTTCATTTAGCATAATCACCTCTACGTCCATCCATGTTGTCTCAAACAGTGAGATTTCATTCTTTTTTTTGGCCAAATAATACTTTTATTCCATTGTACATAAATGTACCATGTCTTCTTTACCCATTCATCTTTTTATTGGGACATTTAGTTTGTTTTCATTTAAAGTAATTATTGATAGGTATGCACTTATTGCCATTTTATTCATTGTTTTCTGAAAGATTTTGTAGTTCTCCTCTGTTCCTACTCTCTTGTTCTCCTCTCTTAAATGTTGATGGCTTTCTATCATGTTGTATTGGATTTCTTTATTCTTGTAGATTTCTGATTCGTCATTATATGTCCTTCATAAATACCAAGCTATGTCTATTTTAAGTTGATAGTTACCTAAGTCTGAATATATTCTAAAATCATTACTACTTTCTTCTCTCACCCCTTCCACATTTGTTTTTTGTCGTTATATTTTACTTCTTTTGTGCATTTGTGTGCATCCTTCACTGTTGTAACTGCACACTGATGCGGATCTTGACACACAATCTTCCTACTTTTGCCTTTTAACCTGTGTACTAGCTTTAGTTTTGGTTGATCCACTGCTTTTATGATGTTTGTCTTAGTAAGAATTTTTTTCTTGACAATATTTTCTTATTTATATTTTTGATTTTTCTTCTTATTAGAGTGGTCCCTTTAATATTTCTTGTAATACTGATTTGGAGATAATGAGCTCCTTTAGTATTTTTTTTTGTCTGGGAAGCTCTTTTCTCTCCTTAGATTCTAAATGATAGCTTTGCTGGGTAATCTTGGGTGTAGGTCCTTGCTTTTCATCAGCATGTTCACTTTTTAAAGAGTCTTTGAGTTGGCAGATTTTTGAATTTTTAGTATTTTAAAAATAGTTTTCAAGAAAATTTTAAAATAAGGAAATAGACAAAGAATAACATAATGCCCATATTCACACCACCTGGAATTTCTCTTCACATTTTATCAAGTATTCTTTAAGAGTTTTTCATATAAAAAATGAGACATTATAGATAAAAATTTAATCGTATTATTCTACATGCAATCTCTCAAGCTATTCTCTTTTTCCAGCTTTCTAGTAATATCCTCTATCATGAAACTAATGAGTACCTTTCCAGTCTGCATGTAAATGTAGATACATGTTTATATTTGTCTTTACACTGACATGCAGGCATCTGTGAACACTACTGTGTTGTAGGTACCATTTAAAGACACACAGTGTAGCATGTTGCATGCACAGTACAATAGAAGGTGCCGTGCACTGAGTGATTGTACTGTGCCTGGAGCTGTACTATTTTCATCCTTTCAATGACTGTATGTAGCAGGCACTGTTGTTATCCCCTCTTTTAGGAAATCAAGGTGCACAGAGAGGTTACTCCCCCAGGGTGAAACAGCTAGTAAGTGGTGGCGCACAGAGTCAATCCCGTAGCCAGGCTCTGACCCGGAAGTACTTGACCATCGCGCTCCGTGACCTCTTCATTGTATGGCTCCAAAGAATTCTTCACTCGCAGTATCATGTTTCTGATATCTGCAGTTGATTTTTAAATTAAATGTACTGAAGTGACATTGAGTTAGTAAGAGTACCTACGTTTCAAGTGTGCAATTCTTTGATATATCATATGTGCGTTATATTGTGTGCTCACCACCCGAACTCACATCTCCTTCTGTCACTGTACACCTGGCCCCTTTTCCCTTTACTCTCCCACCCCCCGCCCTGTAATATCCTCTGCTGTTGTCTGTGTCTGTGAGTGTTGTTTTGTTTGTCATTCTTGTCTGTTTATTTGTGCTTTCAGTTTTATATCCTGTGTATGAGCAAAATTCTATGGCTCTTAACTTTTTCTGTTTGACTAATTTTACTTAGCATGACACTCTCAAGACCCATCCACATTGTTGCAAATGGCGGCATTTCATCTTTCCTTATGGCTGAGTAGTATTCCATTGTATATATGGGGTGGGCAAAAGTAGGTTAAATTACCAGCTATTATTACCCATAAGGTATGAAATAACAACAGTAATTATAAGAAGAAGAAGAAAAATAAAACGAGAATAAACTCTGTGTTTTGCATACTTATAACTGTAAGCCTGCTTTTACCTGCCCCGTATGTGCCACATCTTTATCCAGTCACCTGTCAAAGGACACTCGGTTGTTTGCATGTCTTGGCCACCATGAATAACGCTGCCATGAACATAGGGGTGCATATATCTGTGAAAATAAATGTTTTCAATTTTTCTGGATAGATACCCAAAAGGGGGTTTGCTAGATCCGATAGTATTGGTATCCTTAACCCTTTGAGGAGCCTGCACAGTTTTCTATAGTGACAGAAAACCTGAACACACTTCTTCTGTGTAATTGTTGATAAAACACTCAACCAATAAAAATAGATCTGTCTAGTTCACATACCCCATATTCCATTAAGTGAATACAGTGTTTAGAAAGCTGTATTGTTCGGTGGTTCAGACCTGCGAAATATGAATAGTGAAAGTTTCTATTTTACAAGGTTTCCTATTTCTCATCTTGAGAAATAAATGGTTTAATTTAAATAAAGCTGTAGTAAGAACCCAGTAAGTGTTAGCTATTACTTACTATTAGCATCTATCCATTACCCTGTGGAGCCTAATTGTTCGGTTTCCAGTTTTCCTTACTGCATGTATCACTACAATGAAAGCCCTGTCTCTGTATAAAAGTTTCTTTTGGGTATCTCCCTAGAAGAGAAATTGATGGCTCATGGGGCATACATAGTTGCAGTCTTTCTCGATTTTGCCAAAGCCAGCTGTACCAGTTTGCACTCCCTAGTGCAGTTTCTCGATTCCCGGTTCCTCACACCCTCAGGAACAGGTGGTATTGTCTGACTCCCATTCTCCCCTGTCCCCAGCCTCTGGCCTTGCCAACCCACTTTCTGTCTCTGGATTTGCCTATTCTGGACAGTTCCTATAAATGGAATCATATAAGATGTGGATTTTTGTAACTGGCTGCTTTCACTTAATGTTTTTGAGGTGCATCCACTTTGTAGCATTAATTAGCATTTCATTCCTTTTTATGGGCCAGCAACAGTTCGTTATGTGGCTATACCACATTTTGTGTCCATATTTGAGCTGATGGAAATTTCAGTTGTTTCTTACTCTTGGCTATTTGAATAATGCTTCTGTAAACATTCATATGCAAATTTTTGTATGGACATATAGTTTTACTTTCTTGCTTATACATATATTTATATACTTAGTAGTGGGATCGTGGCATCATATGGTAACTATGTTTAACACTTTGAGAAACTGCCAAACTGACCGCACCACTCTACATTCCCACGAGCAGCACGCCAGGGCTCCCATTTCTCCAAGTCTCGGCCTCCAGCACGTGCTATTGCCTTTTTTGATTCTCGCCATTTTAGCAAGTGTAAAAGGTACCCATCTCATGGTTTGGATTTGCATCTCCTTGATGACTAATGATATCGAGCCTTTTTTCATGTACTTATTGGCCATTTGTATGTCTTCTTTGAGAAATGTCTATTCAAATCCTTTGCCTATTTTTTAATTGGGTAATTTGTTCTTTGAGTTGTAAGAGTTCTTCATGTATTGTGAATACAAGTCCTGCTGAGCAGAGGGATCACAAGTCAGACCATTATTGTCCTTGAAGTGTCCTTGTGGGCAATAACATGACTGCATCTAGCTTTCTGTAGATTAGAAGCTCCTGTGTTGGTCAGAAAAACACAGATTTTCCACAGGCGTCTAGCTGTGTCTCTCAGCCAGTGAAGGTAATTAATTCACTTTTGAAAGCACGGAAGATACATCTTCACACCTAATTAGAGTTTGAATTCAATCACGAAAAGCATTGAAACCATTCCTTCCATTTCCAAACTCTCGATTGGTTAACTAGGCTTCATTTGGATTTCTGTTTAACCTGGCCTCTTCCTTCTTCTCTTTCTTCTTCTCTTCTTTCTCCTCTTTCTCTTCCTCCTCTCCCATCCCCACTCTCTCTTTCAATTTCAGATTGAAAATGGCTCAGGAATCAGTCAGCAAGTTGACGTCAGAGAAGAAAGTGGAGACAAAGAAAATCAATCCCTCGGCCAGTCTGGTGAGATGCATTGTTCAACATAACCTCGAGATTTTTCATTATAAGTGGGGTGCACCCAGGAGTGTGTCTGAATTTCAAGGCTAAAAAACTCCAGGCCATGGGAGGTAGTATCCAGATTCTCAGTTCCCCTCCCAGAACAGCATACGGTAAAAAAAAATATAGGGGAGGAGGGAGTGAGAAATAAAACACAGCTTCATGTGTTTGCCCACCAAATTCAACAAACGTCACTTCCCCATAAAGCAAACTGAGTCGCTTGCTGTTCCACACCCTTTGGTGTGGCCCCCCATCTCAGCACCTTGCTCTTGAAATGTTTCAGCATTTCATCCTCATCAATTTCTTTTCCCTGTTGAAGAAATGGGCAGGGCTTATCCTCTTTTGATAGTTGGGAAAACTGAGATGCAGAAAGATACAGCCTACATAGTATCACTACAGAAATGTGTAACAAAAACCAAGACCACACTCTGGGCCGCAGAAGTCTCTCCCTGTCCCAGAAACCAGCAGTCTGCTAAGGCTTCCTAGCGTGAGGGCGAGCCATCCTTCACCATCATGTTTTCAGGGTGGAACACAATAAATCTCCACCGGTTTGTTACAGACAGTAGTCAGAGGGCTAAATGGTTATGTAAAGTGCCTAGCACTCAGTAAGAGCTCCATCGATGTTAGTTCTTTTCTTTGTGATCATGAAATCTCTGCAGTGTGGGCTGGCACTGCAGAGGGGACAGCAGTGAGGGGTCAGTGGGAGTGTCAGTCTCCTCGCTTTGATTCTCAGACCCTGCCTTCCCTGTGCCCTCATCTCCTACTGCTACTTAATGTTGTCCCTTTGTGTCACAAGTGCTTTTTGCCAGCTGCCTCAAATCCTTTGACAGTCTAAGTGGAGCATATGTTATAAAGTGAGATTACTCCCAATGGTTGACTGTGGTGACTCTCATAACAGCCCCACCAGCAGCTAAATGAATGTTGAATGAGGTGCACAGGTAAGAAACAGAGAAGTTGGGGCCGTACAGCGTGGTCCAGAGAGGCAGTGGTCAGGATGCAGAGCCCCTGCCTGAGCGGACACACCCTCCGGCCCACTGACACTATCATCATCGCACTCATTTGTATGATTTCCAGAGGCAGTGAGCTCAGCCCCGATTTTTATCTCCCTTCTTCATGGGCCTCCACCCTTTCCCCAAGCATCTTATTTGGGCCTCTATCCTAACTTTTCCAGCCATACCTTATGTCCAGGGGCAAAGAAAATGGACTGGGCTCTACAGACCAGCAGCTTGCAAATAGTGCGCTGCCACAATTGGTAAAACGTGCGCTACCTGACCATTTAGTCAGGGGCGCTGACCTCTTTTCCCTTAGGATGTCAGCTCAGAAAGTGACAGCAGCCAACACAACAATAGCCATTGGGTATGAGTGAATCAAAGTTATACCTATTTTTTTGTCAGATCAGCAAAAAATATATCTTGGGGTGTGCCACAGAACTTTAGTAATTTGTTTATGTGTGCCCTGAAATGAAAAAGGTTGGAAATCGCTGCCGTAGACAAAAGGGCAACAGTGCTTTTCTTGTCTAAGTGACCTTCACTATGAGCAAGCTCCCAATTGTGGTCTTCAGCTTAGAGTTGTTTGCTTTGTTGTTTATTTTCATAGAAATTAGGGAAGAGCTTGTAAACTGATTCCTGACTAAATTTCTCAAGTCAGGGATGGGACTCGATCGAACTTGGGACAGGTGTTTAAAATCATCAGCTTACATTTACATCAAGGCCAACATAGTAACTCACTGTAGCATCGCACCTCACCAGTCCCAAGCCTCTGAGAATCCATTCTTAAAGTGATTCTCTCTGCACCTGCTCTTTCCCAAGGAGTGCACTTCTCTCATTTCGTTTTTAGCCTTCTATTTTCCCACCACCAAGCGCAGACACGCCCATCACTGTGTTTATTCTGTTTCTCCAAAGCCCCGGAAACAGGGAGGGTCCGTGTTTCTGTGTGGCACACTCTCTTGTTCTTTTCCATCCCGCCAGCAGGCTTCCATGTTCTTCCCCATCAGAAGGTGGGCCCTGGGAAGGAAACTCAGGAGGGCAGAGCAGAGCGTGCAGGGCAAAGCCAGAGCTCCTGCCACTCTGAGTAGATGAAACCAGGTCCCCTTCCAGGTTGACTTTTCCTCTCTGGACTCCCTAGAAACTATTTCTTGAGCATTCCCTAAGTCCATCAGTGAGCCAGGGTGAGAGATGGGAGGAGCCTTCAAGTAAGGCTACAAAATTAGGACTCTTGTCACAGAACAACAGCCTGGAACAGTAAAGGTCAGGGTTACCGATGGATACGTTTGGCTTCCTAGTTGTCAATTTTGTTTGTTTGTTGGAGGGTAAGAGTGATGGGCTGGAAGGGGCAGGTAACGGAGGGTTTCAGGAAAGAAGGATAAAGATGGTCTTATTTCTACAGCATACAGTGCAACTCTAGAATTGTAGACCAAAATTTGAGAAAGTTACCAAAATTTGAGGAAGATGAAAAATCAGAAAAAGGAATACTAAACTCATTTCCTTCCTCAACTACAGAAAGAAAGACTGCGTCAGAAGGAAGCCAGCGTGGCCACCAACTGAACGTCGAGGTGAGAACGCCGGGAGCGAGACTGGTCCCCTTGCTCACCCTTTGCAACACCAGCACTGCAGGGGTGCTGTGGGAAGATATTTCACTAAACGCTTCTCTGGCCCATCTCTTTGTACGGGCACCTGCAGTGGGAACCCTGTGTTCTCCAAGAAGTCCCTGGTTAAGCCACAGAAACCATGAAACGCTGTTTAAGGGAACATTGCAGGAGTATTGATCGTTGTTTCTTATAGAGGCCCAAAGTCGACTTTGCTGTAAGACCAGAGCAAATATCAAGGTTTTCCAAGTTTTTTTTTTAAAGCAGAGATTTCAAGCTTTCTAACCTACTCTTTATATATGTAAATTTGTGAGAGAAGAAAAGGATATTTTATGACTGTTGGCTTGAAGGAGTTCAAGCCTTTACAAATGCTGGTTTGATTATTGATCTTAATTTTGATCCCATTGCATCAAGATTTTGAAGTGTCTTTCTGGCCAAAAATGTTGAAATTTACCAAAACTGTTTTTAAAGAGCTCCAAGACTATGTATTTCCTAGATGAGAAAAATGGTTATTTTGTGGTGGTTGTTGCTCATATTATGGAAAGGAGAGAAATGGAATTGTAGATGGTGGAGAAGGGGTTAAATAGCCACAGACTCATCCTGGAGAACAGATTAGGACACAGGCCGTCACCCATTAAGCAAGACCCATTCCTTTGTTTTTGCATCAGTTAATTGTGGTTCCCTGGACTGGCAGGGGTTCTCACCCCCAAATTCTAGAAGAAACTGTGATCCCTGAGCAGGGAGCTGCGCGACCCAACAGCAGAGCACATTTCACATGTCAGATCATTCATGAAACACAGGCCACGCCATGTTGCCATGCACCTGAGCTGCGCGTCCTGCTCTGGGACTGTGTGTGGCGGGACCTTTCCCACTCACCCCAGGGGGCTGTTTCTAGGCGAGATGGCAAATGTTACTTGCAGCTTTTTATCATGACCTTGACTGAAAGGCATGTGATGTAGGGTGAAGCAGGGGGCTGAAAAATTAAGGTCAGAAAAGTTCTTTACATTCAAATGCAAAGAAGGTAATGACATTCATCTTAATCTTGGAGTGGAATGTCATGTAAATGCAGTTTTTTCTGACCCTGGGAGCTGGTATGACCACTGCCCCTGAGTCACAAGAGAAATGAATCCATCTTGGGAGGGGAGAAAAGAGAGGACTGAGGGTGAGTTGATAATAAGATCAAAGAACATCAAGTTTGGACCTTGAAGGGACAGGGGTCAGAGCCTCTTCCTCCAGTTGGTGGATAACAGTCTAGACATGAGCAACAACCTTAAAACCCGTCCCAATCCAGCTGCTGTTGCCCCAGGATCTCCCCAGAAGCTCTCGACTTGCCAGGTGCCAGGACATGCCTGCCAGTCATCGGCCTCCTCAGGGACCCATAATAGACCCAGCTAATGAAAGCAGTACCGTGTCCTCAATATAATGCCCACCTCAGGAAGCAAGAATGCACAGTCAGGATCAAACCAAGTCTCCAAAGCCATATTCAAACAGGTGCTAACCACCTTTTCTAACAATTCAAAAGAAAGGAATATGGTAACATAGTTGGGTTGCCTTTTTTTCTTTCAAGTCAAAATAAACGGATGAGACACACAAAATAGAAAAGGAAACTGACATGACTACAAGAAGTTCCTTGTGAGCAACAAGCTTTACATACTGTTTTCTTGTATCGTGTCTTCTTCCCTTTCACTTAACTATGCAGAAAACCTAAAGAATCCATCAAGGTCAAACAAATTCCACTCCCAGCCCTCCTGGGCCCTGTGGCATGCCCTTGGCATTACCATGCAAGAGAAAAGAACCTGTATTGCCCAAGCCTTGGGTATCAACTCTGAGTTCAGTGAGACCAGCAGAGGTTGAGATCCACATGGGTCCTTACTGATGCGACGGGAGACAGCTGCCAGTGGCTCTGGGCAGTGTCACTGCCATCCACTTCAGGTCTAGAAGTAGGATGCTCATAAGAAAATCACTGAAGATGAGCAGGACTGTCACTTCAGCCACATAACCCTGCAAGAACATGCTCTCAGGGAACCAATGCTGAAGAGGAATGAGTGGGAACATTGAGTTTGAGGGTCAGACAAACGCAGCCCAAGGTGGAGGCTTCATCCTCACAAACAGGCTAGAAATTGGCAGTAAAGTACTCATTTCTACAGAACAAAGCTTGCCTGGCTGTGTCGAAGACAGTGATTTTGTGATACTAGTCAAACGTAGTATGTTAGTGCAGTAAGACACCAGGGCAGGGTCCCCATTATTTTTACCCTGCTCGAATCCTGTGTTATGTGTCTGGCTGCCCCCTCCCTCAGCCACACTCGCTGCACTGTTGACACCACCGTCATTTCCAGCTTCCGTAGATAAGAAGTAAAGGTTCACAAAAATTTGTTCAAGGTAGGCCATCTAAAACAGCCTTGAGGCCTTTAGAACATGCCGTCTAACACACAGCTGAGACAGTGTTTAAATACAACCAGTGTCTCCAAACGTTGCATGGAGAGGGAGTGGTTGAAGTGCCACTGAGCATCTTGAGCAGTTCAGGCCAACGGGATTTAGGTGGCAGTTCTAAGTCTCACTCCCCAGAACAGAAGGGAGAGTGGCCAGCAATGCTCCTCCGTTTGACCGCTCACACCTGACTTACTAGTCAGACTCAGAAACCTTTACTTATCGTGATATTATCTCTTCCAAGATTCATTCGGGCATGGGTGGACAGCAGTTCAGATTCTTGCGTGAGCAATTGGTATCATCGTCAAGCACACAAGTATATCATATATTAAACCAGAGCATAATATAAACGTATTATGGGGAAAAATTGGGGCTGTGAGTTATCAAAATTCAGGATATAAGGAGGTGTGCTGTGTGGCTTTTGACCCAAGAAGAGAAGCTTACCAAGGGGAGAAAAAAGGCACAAGTGTGGTCAAGCAGAAACTGATGATGGTGAATCACCGGCCGTCACAGGTGTTGGCCTTGCTGCCCAACAGCTGCCTTTTGACCTTCTTGAGCTGACGCCCATGATGCCCTTTCCAGTGCTCACTGCAACTGCCTAGGACTTAAGGAAGAAGTTCTGAAATCCAAGAAGTGGGATAAGGAAAACTAGTGGTGCTGTTACACCTGAAATGTTGTGGCTTAAACAAACTAGTAAGATGGTCACGGAACTGAACTCAGATTGGATGCTGTCTCCGCCCTACTGCCCCCTGAGTAAGGACAGTGGAAACTACACACCTGCTGAGCCTCCCTTAGCACCCTCTTTGTCCGTAAGTACCACAAGGAAAGGCGTTTCCTAAATGAAAGCTGCTGGTGGAGCAACTGCAAAAGCTGAAAGAAGGAGTAAAATTCTTTGGTGGCATTGGAGACATCCACAAAGACAGCTGTCAGTACGGCTCTTCCATGGACCAGGACTGGACGTAGCACAAGAGGTATAAGTATTTTCACACTTTTCTCCATAGATTACACTGCCTGTAATGGAGAGTTTTTACTTTAATCATTCTTGCTTTCTTGAATGTTAGGTCTCCTCATTTCTGTTTCTCCTTCTCCCTTGCCCGGTGCCATGGATGCAGATCAGTACTGGCAGCCACCCAGCAAACAGTGGTCCATCCGCTGGTCTGCAGGCCACCAGTCAGTGTGTGAAGGGGAATTAGCAGTGCAGACCGCGGTGTGCACTTCAGTCACCAGACTTTAACCCTTCACTCCCTGATATTCCCCAAATTGGTCGATTTTGTCATATCTCCCTTCCCCAAAACAAAGATAAAACCAATTTGCGGATTCCTGTGTCAAAGAGAAGAAAGAAATCCAAAAAAATACAGCTTTTTATCCCCAAGTATCTAATCCAAATATCAAATATACAATTTTATAAAATAGTTTAAATTTTCTTTAGGAATTGTTTGGAAAAACTATGTGATAGATATGACCTTCATTTTTCTTTGATTCTGCCTGTTCTGATCAGAAAAAAAAATGAAAAGAAAGAAAGAGAAAGGGAAAAAAAAGGCCAAGAGCTGGAAGGGAAAATAAAAAAACACTAGCAGATTTGCTAATCTACAAATTAATGCATCAGTTCCTGAATCACACAATAAAAATGGACATACTATGAAATCCAGTGAGCTCATTTTTTAAAAAGCCACGTACAAGAAGTGGCACATTATAGTAGGAAAAGTTTAGACTGTTAAAATTTTCTTTTTCTGGGTTTCCTGAAGAGCAGTTTATAAATGTGTGGAACATGCAGAAGACCAGGACTATCACATTTCACATATTAGGTAGTGTTCCGTTACGAACAATACCACTGAAGAAAGGGTTGAACAAAGACATGAGCTTTTTGATTCATGGCAGCTACTTTGTCATCATAAAGAAATCTTCAACATAAGAGAAGCCTGTCTATGCGGCGAGGCTAATAGGATCTAGTATTCGAAAAGTAGGAATCATTTTTAGCAGCTTTAAATGTAAGTAACTTGCTGGATATATTTCCACTTTCCATCTCTAGAGAGAAACAACCCCGCTGGTTGGCACCTTCTCTGTCACTGGGGGAGAAGTCACTTAAAGAAAAGCACCTTCAAAACCAGGCTTCAGCATCTCTGGCTCCTTGAGACTCAAATGCCAGTATTACCACTCCATTAGCAGTTGAACCCAGGCATGACTAGTCTCCATGACACAGCTGTACGTGACTGAAGCTTATTTTTTCATTTCTGCATGTCCACCAGTTGCTGACACCTTGTTAGCAGCACTGAGTGTTAGCTTCACGATCTTCATTTCCCTCCCAAGGAGTAAGCAGTCCCTCCCGATCAATGCTTTGCCGGGCTGTAGTGAATTCAAAGAGTCTTAACATATCCAACTTGAAGCCAGTTCAGTAGTCTTATTTGTTTCAAAACCTTAATCAAGACTGTGATATAAACTTAGTGTTTAGGAAATTTGTGTGGCAGACAATTCACTTGGACAAGTAAGGAGGTAATAAAACAGCAGCTAGCCCACTCTGTCTCTTAAGCCCCCCTGCAACTTCTGCCAACAAAGAAGATTAGGGAAGCAAACCCAGCCTCATTCAGTAGGTGGGCTGTCCTCAAATGGAGCTTACCGGATTCCCTGCCCCTCCACCCACCCCTCTGCCGAACTCCCTGGTAACAGTAACATGGCCTTTTCCTTCTCCCTCCCCCCCTTCTCTGGTATGATGATTCACTTCGAACAATAGCTCAAGTGAACTCACCTTTATTGCATATTACATCTATGAAGTACTTGTTTGTGAATTATTTTGCTCCATTCTGTGGTCTGAAGCAGACTGATTTACCTCAATTTTTATATGAAAGGGGTATCTAAGGTCATTAATTTATTCTTCATTCTTCTACATTCCATCCAGGTTTATATGATTTTCTATTTTTTTTAATAAATCTTCCCTGAATACTAAGACTCTCTAGTCTGCCTCTTTTTCTAAGAGCTGATCCAGATACTTCTGTGAACTATTTTTTTTAATGTTTTATGTGAATTTCCATAGCATGGGGCTAGCAAATGCAAATGAACCAAAAGTTTCCAGTAGAAATTCCCCTCCAAAGACTTTGGCATTTTTCTCCATGGAGTAAACAACCTTCTGCCAGACCTAGTCTGTTCTGTAGGCTGAACATTTCCTGAAATTCTACCTGTGCAGAAACCAAGAGCTCCCTGTCTTTGAAACTATAAAATGTCTAAGAAGAGAATGAATATTTCTCCCCATATATATTATACTTAGCACATCAGGTAAGAAATCAAATGTTTTCAAGTGTGCATCATAGTAGTTTGTCAACATCTCTAGCAAAGTTGTACCTACTTTCTTATATTGTTCTCTTTGAGAGCTTACTTAATTCCTGTCTCATGGAACAACTGTATTTTTGTTTATTCATTCAGTCAGCGTTCCAGAACGCCAGGCTAGTCCCATCTAGTACTGAGCATATGGGGAGGTTACTCTCTACCTCCCTACAACATGGATGATAGATATGTTCAGGAATGAACATCTCTCTGAGAACTCTTGGGATGAACTTCGAGTTCCAGGTTTCTTTCTGTGAAATATATGAAATGGGCCTATAGTATACAAAAATTATATTACCCTTTCTAATAAGAGGCCAAAAGGAGACTCGAAAATCTTTATATGTTAGATAGGCTAAAGGAAACTCTAAAGAGCTATTTTTTCCTTTCTTCTTGGCAATTTGTCTCTAGCTATAATCTTGTTTCTTTGCTTCTGACCACCAAGACGTAAAGAAGGTGGTCTCAGCCCACCGACCTTCCATTCTGCATAATCCTCCAAAAACACCCATTTTTTTGGAAACAAGGCCAGGAGTGAGGGGAAGTCTAGCAGCAATTCTGCCTACCCAGGGTGACACACACAGCATCCTGAGGTCTGCCAGAGGAGCAGGTCTATTCCAAGTCATTAATTTTATGGTTCTGCAATTCTTCAATTTCTCTAAACACAAATAATATCACTCTACTGTTAGTAGAATGTATAATCTTCAAAGAACGTAAGCATTTATAAGAAGGACTTCTTCTTTAAAAAACAATCTGAGAGACTCCTAAAATGGCAGAAACTTTTAAAATTAGAAATTGAATAACTTTTAAGACTTTCTAGACGGCACATGTCATTGACTCACTGTAGTCTTTCCCTTCATTGAGTTTTAATTTAGATTACTGTGGGAAGCAGCGCACTTGCCTGGGGTTTGATTTAAGGAATCGTGCTTTGGCCTGGAAAATCAGGGCTGGCCCGCATGCCTAGAACCTAAGTGAAATCAGTTAGCGTCTTAATAGGAATCAAGCCTAACCAATGTAAATCATCTCAAGTCCTTTGAGGTCTCATTTTTTTAGTGACACCCTGGACCTTGGACACTGCTTCCCTAAAATGCATTGGATCCCTGCAGGTATGTGTCTTAATTGTGCCTTGTGAGATCGCAAGCCAGGAAATGAGGGAGAACAGGTGACAGAGAAGAAGAAAAATCTGAACAAGGCCAAGGTGCACTGTTTGGCTGATACATTGCCTTGTTAGGGAGCTGGTGATTTTTGGCATCGATGTATCATGGACAGCCTCTCTGTGGAAACACAAGCAATCTGTCTTAGGCAAATGGGAGTGCCCGGCATCTCATATCGGTCAGTGCCTGATGACGTGCTGGAAAAGCAGGTACCCTAATGAAACTGGTGCACTTGCTGAAATAGTGCCATTCAATTTCAGATTCATTTCCATGGGGCTGGTGGTCCAGGGACCTTCCTCTCTTCTCTGTGCTTGCCCAAGAGTCATTTTGGCATCTCGCTTCATTCGTTTCCTCCTTTCAATGCATCTACTTTGGCCTCCCTTCTCTCACAACCCACCCCTATTTTTTCTTACTGTCCCGTTTCTCCAGGACCCAGCTCCCTTTACCCCCCTGCCTCACAGACAGCGGAGTGTCTCCCTGAGCCCGCACTCCCTCCTCTCACACCCTGTGCTCCATTTCCCAGGCCTCTGGACAGGGCGCTCTGCTGTCGCCGAGTGAGACTCACCACCGTGACGGCCTCTTGTTAATGTCAGCATCACCTCATCACTTAGGCAAAGAGGGGAAAATCCATAAAAGAGATGGAAAATACATTTCTCTCTCACTTTATTCTACTTTATTTTAGGAAGGTTGAGGAGAGGGTTATTCTCGTCCTTCTCAATTTCTCATGGGTTTTATTTTAAAACTGTCTACCTGGCACCATTCTTTTGATAAACTATAAATCAGTCCAGGTCACCAGCTATGGTGCATAGGACTAAATTTTTGAAGCTCAAATAATTTTTCTGTGCCACAGGACACATTGACTTAAATTCTGGGTGAACGTTTTGACTCATAGGCTTGTTATTGCCACTCCATTCTAACAACGACTCCAGAGTCAAACATCTACATGAATCTGGATTAAGTTGTTGACAATTCGTGGTTGTTTTCAAATCAACAGTCACTATGAGATTCTCGAAAGGGGGTAAAGAGAAAGTATAAGCATGTCCCAAATAGTCAAACATAGGACCTGGAAAAGCATTGGCCTTTCTGTTTCATTAATTATGTTAAACCAATATATAGAGGTCATCCCAAAGGGCTTTCAGCAACAATGAAGGCAGTTTGAGAAGGGAGAAGGCACTTTAAAGACATGAAACCTTACATTCGATGGTCTTGGATATTTTTAATATAATAAGCTAATTGGATTCAGGTATTTTTTCCTTTTAAAATTTAAAAAATATGTATCTCTAATTTACATATTTAATTTTTGTCAGTGCTGAAAATGCTCATTAGTTGAATTTGTAAATGTCATTTGCAACCAAATGAAGTATTTATTTTTAAAAAGAAAAGGTGAAGGAACCAATATTGACTGTACATAATGCAAATATGTGTGTGCATGTATATATATATTTTTTTCCTCCGTGACACTACTTGGTTACCACATCAAGTATATTTTTGTACATAGTATATATTGCTTAGAAAATGTAGATTGTCTACTCAAAGAATTCTATCTCTGTGATAAATTATATTTATTCTAATCTATTGATACCTCTGTTAGTTTGTCTTAAGAGATAGAACTCTATTTTTTTGGAATTTGCAGAGAACTGCATTCATGGCTTCCAATTGTAAATATGCTAAGGGTATTTTAATAAATTGTGGTTTCATGTCTGTCTGGTGTGCAGTGCAGATTTGTTTTCAGGAGGCATTTTGGAAAATATCCCAAAGGTACTCTAATATGGAGAAACCAGTCACTTCCAACTTTTACTGCTGCCCAAGCTTAGCATTACTACTGAGCTGCAAGAGCTGGGTCTCAGGAAGTCTGTCATTCACATTTCCTTCTTTCTGCCCTGTTTATCCCACCAACAGTGGCCAACCTGCCTAGGCATTCAAGGCTAACACCAAACAGACATCCTCAGCCAGGCTGACCCCAAAGCAACACTACCTGAACACATAATTGCCAAGATGGGGTGAGTGGGGGGAAAACACAGGGATTGGTGACTTCAAGTTGTGGGCTGGTAAACAATATACTGGGGAGACAGAACAGAAATATAGTCTAATTCTTTTCTAGCACTCAGAACAAGATACTGATTCTTTATGAGCAGTGATGACACCTGCAGGTATTTACGAACAAAAAATTAAATACTTCCAGCAGAATACCCTTATGTTTAAATAGGTGCCATTATTTTGTAAGTTATTCATTTGTTCAATGTTCCTCAATGCCATGTACTTGAGTTCTAGAAGTTTGCTGAAATAATGCCCACCCCCGAGCGCATACTTGTTTAATGAACAGACATAATTATTATCCAGGTAGGCATTTTATCACTAGAAAACCTTCTAAATTATAGAGTCATAGAGGTTCTAAAATCTTTAAACATTGGATAAAGCCGATTTCATGAAGTAAAAATTACTGAAGTTCAGGGGACTTGCTGAAAGTCACACTTCATGTCAGTGAACACATCAAAACTAGGATCCAAGTCCTTTGACCCCAAGGCAGAGCCCTTCCCACTGCTCAACTCATTCATCACAATAAGCTGTTCTCTTAGAAATGCTTTTTTATGGAGAAATATTCTAGAGTTGTTGATTGAAAATACATGTCCCCACTCTCCTAAGAGTTTGTAGAAACTATTATTAAAGTTGTGCTCTAAATTAGAGCACCTAGGAGAGATGGAGGCCCATGTATCATAAGGACGTAGGGGATATATCAGCCCGCCTTAGGAAAACTCTCCTCTCTGGTTTAGCTGAGATTTACTCTCCTTTGCTGAGCATAGTGATACCTGTTGAATTTATAAGTATACTCTTTTGCCTATTCTTTAAATAGCCTGTGTATGCTGGTGGTTCAACTAACAGGCCATAAATTCTTGAGGCTACATATTCTACTTCAGACTCTAGCTGCGCACTTTCCCCCTGGCTGTGACATATTCATGGAAATAAAAATACTTTCAAGTTGGCCCGCCTGCACTGGCCCTGCCTGCAGGGTTGCCTGCATTGCATCGACGCCCCGGAGTCAGTTTTCTCAAAGTAACCTTTGCTTCATGCCCATCACTGTGTGATAACGAATGGTAAGAGATAGTAACTCTAATACTTACCAGTTGCTGCATAACAAAATACCCCAAAGCTAAGTGGATTAAATCAACAACAATCACTTCTTATTTCTCATGGTCTTTGTTAGTATGAGAAGAATCAACAGCACGTCTCACTTGGAATCTCCTAAGGTTGCAGTAATGTGTCTGTTGGGTTTGTCATCCTCTGAAAACTGGAATGTTCGAATGGGGCTGGAGCATGGCCAACCAACGTGACTGTCAAGTTGGTGCTGGCCTGGGGCCAGGCCTCAGCACCTCTCCACTGGACTGCTTGAGTGATCCGAGGTGAAACATAGGCTTTTTGGACTAAGACTGGAAATCATATGCAGTCACTGTCATCATATTCTATCATTTAAAGAATTTAATCAGTTTTTCCCGGGTTGGAAGGGTGAAGACACAGTCCTCACCACTTGGTGAAGGGACATGCAACCCCACATTGTAAGAAGAGCATTGGATAGGAGTGATATGGGTGCAGCCATCTTTCGATAATACCATCTGTCCCTGTCGTTTGCTTTGTTCCTTCTTTCTGGCCTTCTACTTTCTTCTCTCGTTCTTATTTTTGTTCTAAAAACAAATTTCAGATTTCTTTTTTAAAATATTTTCTACTTCCTTCTCCCAAATCTTTATTTCTTCTGCCTGCATATGAGAACACAGAAATGTTTGTCTAGCTTCTCTGAATATTGTACACTTAAAAATAGTCAAAATGTTTTGACTATTTTATGTTTTGTATTCTTTACCATGATAAAAATGGTATATATGTATTAAGGGCTTTCTATACGCCAGGTGCCATAGTAAGCATTTTATATACATTATATCGTTTAATCTTCCTTATAATACTGTGAGGTAGACATTACCATCCCCATTTTACATGTAAGAAAACCAGTGCTTGGAACAGTTGGCAGCTTTCTCATACAATTGGTAAGCAGAGAAACCAGAATTCAGATGCTCCAAAGAGTCACTCCCAGCCTCTGTCCTATCTCTACAGGCCACAGAATTAGAATTAGCTGATTTGGGCAAAAGGGAAGCACTTAGACAAAGATTATAAGGTTCTAAAACATAGTGGTCTCGTAATTTTATTTTTGAGATATGGTAAAAAAAATTTCTTCTTACAAGATACTTTTTGTTCACTGGCTTTTTGTTCATATTACTACCTATTCAAACCTTAGTGTACTTTTTGTCCGATATCTCACCCAAGAGTACCGGGGCCACCTGTCCTTCTATAGAAGCCAAAGAAACTAACAGAATAGATTTGTATAAGTATCTTCCAAAGAACAGCTAACACTTCCAAGAATGTTTCTTCTTCCATAGATGAGATTAAGAGGATATAAGGCAAAACAAACAAAAAAAAAAGCTGGTGAAAATTATATGAGGAATACTGTAAGACTAAGAGAAGCAGCCATATGTATCTTTGACTAGTTGTCCTGAATTAACCTCATAATAAATCAATCTGGAAATACATCTAACAGGGTAAAACAACATCCTATCCGCAGAAAATAATGTTTAAACAAAACTGGATCATGTAGTGTTAGAGTTTTCCAGAATCTCCTACCAATGTTGTGTGGTATGCTCATTGCTTGATTTGAGGTCAAACTGAGATCCAGTTGGACCTCATTTAGAATCATTTTGAAGATTTTTGCTGCTGAAATTAAATTCTTCTTTGGGGAGAGTATTTTACTGTTAGTAGAAGAACCACAAATGAATAGATAGCTGTATACTCAGTTTTTGTATGCTGCCCAGAATCAGAAGTAGAAGGAAAGAGAAAATTCCTTCAAGAAAGAAAATGCTTCCCTCATACTTCAAGTTCTAGGAGACATCAAGAGTTACCCAATTATCCAGTATTTTGCTTCATCTTCCCAGACTTCCAGCCTAGTTCCAAAGACCAGATGGCTCGATTGGGTTTTTTTAAAAGACTTTATTTATCCTTTAGAGAGATAGAGGAGGGAGAAAGAAAGGGAGAGAAACATGGATCAGTTGCCTCCCCCACACCCTAACAAGGGACCTGGCCCACGACGCAGGCATGTGCACAGACCAGGAGTCAAACCCACGACCTTTCAATTCACAGGCTGATGCCAACACACTGGGCAGTATGATCACCTTTGAGAAACTGTTGAGAGAGTACTAATCTAGAAAGTTAGAGCATCTCTGCTCTTTAGCTTCTCATGGTTTGTGTGACTGGTAAGAGGACATTGACCCCACCAAGCACTCTCCCAGTGGCCATCGTACAGCCTCTCCAAAGAGACACTTTCTGATATGAGTCCCTCTTCTCACTGGATCCCCACCTACAACTCAATGGTAACTTAAAGAAAGATGGTCTTCTAGAATACAATTTATTTTACATTGAACTTCACAATGTGAAAGGATTGTCCCATCTCCTCAACAAAGCCTCATCACTTTATTACCTGGTTTGCAGGTGAGTTGTCTCAATCTGGCCCTTCTCATTCTTCTAGAGGTGACACATGCTTTCAGTTCTAGTTATCCAACAACAGTATATTATTTAAGTGGGCTTACTACATTGCAATTTTTGTATCTGTTTGGACTAGATGATTTTTAGGACCCCTGATTTCTCTGCGAGCAGCTATTATAGAAATCACCCTAAGAGTCTTTTCAAGCATACAATATACCAAGGAGAAACACATCACTAATGGAACTAGAAGGGCATTTACAGTCAACACATATTAATATTTGTAACTGGGGCACTGAAGTTGACAGCTGAAGATTGGTTCTTTAGAGGAGATGGGACAATCCTTTCCCATTGTGTCTTGAAGATTTTTTAAAAAGATTTTATTTATGTTTTAGAGAGAAGATAGGGAAGGGAGAAAGAGAGGGAGAGATACATTGATGTGCAAGAGAAACATCCATCAGTTGCCTCTTGCACACCCCCAACTGGGGACCTGGCCCACAACCCGGGCATGGGCCCTGACCCGGAATTGAACCAGCAACCTTTTGGTTCACCATGTTTTAATAACAAAAAGCATTCTGGCATGGCAAAGAGAGAGCCTCTGCCAGGTGGCAGAATGGTCCATGCGAGAAGTAGGCAGTATAGATAGAATCCCTGTACCCACAGTGGTAGGTACATCATGAGATAAGGCAGGGTGTCCTTCAGATGGTAGGAACATGTGTGCACACATACATACATCCCTACATCACCTTTGGATCTAGTCTTCACCAAGGACAACTAGAGAAGCAGGATGATCTTTTAAAATTTACTTGATAGCCTTTGGTAAAGTCTTGACAAGTAAAAATTACTGAACTAAGATTTGAGAGAATATTAAATACCAGAGAGATAAGCCTGGTATTTGGTATTGCTTTCCACCTGGGGGCTCTGAAAGTGATGGCTGAGAGGTTAGGCTATGCTTTGAGCAGCTCTGATGTGCCAGGGGGACAAAAGTAGAGATCAGGGCTCACGATGTTCAAGTCTGAAAAAATCCCCTGTGTGGGGTTAATACAGTGGTTCTCAAATAAATACCAGGAGGCATTTGGCAACATCTGGAGACATTTTATTGTCATAACTAGGGAGAGGTCTTATTAGCATCAGTGGGAAGAGGCTGAAATACTACTGAATATATTGTAAAG